AAACACAATAGTTTAGTGGGCATGTAAACAAAATTTTCATGGTTTGAGACGATCACCCACATTATTTTAACCCTGTGATCACCTTGCCTATACAGGGTGTATCCGGGGAGCGAGCTGGCGTAGTGGTTAGAGCGCGGGACTTCAGTCCCTGAGGTCACGGGTTCGATCCCCGCCAAATCACCAATGGACTTTATCTAAGTGATGATGCCGCAACCCCTAGGTATAGCCTGAAGTAATGTGAAAAACAATCCCAGGCTCGTGCCTAGCGTCTCAGGAAAAGAAAATACAGGGTGTTTCCAAATTGTCCTGACATATTTTGTGGATTTCTTCCTTGGGCTAAGACAAACATCAATGCCATATAAGTATGGATCTCAAATGCATAGATCTTTGTTTGTATATTTTTAAGCATTATTTTATATCTTAAGCATTTTTCAAGATACAAATTTCAAAATTAGTATAAATGCGTATTTTAATAGGTAAAAAGAGCTTACAAACTTTCGTTCCAATATCTCAAGCCGTTTCAATGGCGGCCATTTAAAATCTTTAATGCCAAATTTCATGAAAACCGTAAATATTAAGAAAATTATTTTTCTAATGAAAAAAGGTAGGGAATTTAAATCCAAATTAAATGAGTCCTTGTTGTTTAATTATTATGTTCCTAGCAATTCGACATGCCTTGTAATATAAAGTTTACTTTTAATTCCAAGCTTAAGAAATTTTGTAGTTTTTTTTTCTAAAATGTTTCTATGTTTACAAAATTGAATTTAAGAAATTTTAATAATTCTTTATTTTTCTGTTACAGGTGAGACAGACATGTTAAGCTGATTACCATATATCACCATGCGTAAGTTTAGTGTGTGTTTGTATTTAGTTTTCACATGTAAGATGCATTATAATAATTGATCAATAGTAATTGTACGTAAAATGAATATGCTAGGGAGACTGAAAAACGTTTCTTTGGTCATCATTAGTTCATATTTGTTAAGACCGCAACATTGAAAAATATATCATGACAAAAAACTTTTTTGTGTTGAATTCTGAGAAAATTTTTTCCCTATCATGAAATTTGTTTCAATAAAACTGATGGTATGGAATACTACACAACGTATAATCATTATTCTTGCTTTAAACAACGCATGTAAGCATTTTTTCTTAACCCTCAACATATTCAATACTTCTATGACGTCAGCCAAACGCCTCTTATGTCATGTAATATCCAATAAGGAAAATATCGGCTTTCGAAAGAGGTAATGGAATTTATTCAGGAAGCATTCCTCGGCTGAATGTCTGGTGAACCGCGATTAATACACGTGAAATACATTTTATAAGCGTGTAATCTACTTAAATGACACTTACAGAAAAGTTGTAAAGTGTACAAAAAATATGATTCTTTTCCGTATATTTATTCTCACCGCTTACACTTGATAAAGGTTGTTGACAAACTTATAGGAGAAAGTGTGTGTCAGAATGCTGATACCGTTTATTTAATGCATAATTTTGATTCACTAAAATACAGGTTATGAATAATTTTAACTTTTGTTTACTTTATATATTATAAATTTCTTTTGGAATTAAACACAATGGAGACTTTGTCCTTTTTAAATGCATCCTGTAACTCATGTTCTTATCAAGTAAAATGGTATGAGTAAAAGTTTTATGAAAAAATATAAACATGTATTTTACCCTTGAACTTCCCGTGAATTGGTTAAGTTTTCGGAAACTTTTATGGTTATTATGAAAATTTATATTTTATACAACAGCTGATTTTACATTGTAGAATTGTTACGTAGTTTAGCATCCCCAACTTGTACAAAAATATGCTGTCACAAAACCAGGATACATAAATCTAGTAAAACTTTGAATCAAATTCCTTCTAGATTCAATAATTTATAGTTTTCTCCAGAAAACATTGTTTTTTCTTGCATAACCTAACTTTTTGTCGTCATGATACTCGGACAGAACTTATTATAATGTCGTGGAGAAATCAACTAAGTTACTCTATAATATATAAAACCCACATTTTACGACCGATTTTTAAAGAACTATTATTTTAGACCAAGCGAAACGTTCTCTTATTATTAAATAGTGATAAATAATAGCCTAGTTTATACACTAAATAGTTTATATTCTCCTATATTGAAACAATTCTAGCTATTGTTAGGTAAAATACCTGGAAAAGCATGCTATAAGTGGATCCATCGGTGATCTCGGCTTTGTTCAATATAAGCTTACAATGGTGAAGCATCAGGGGAGCCTTTGATAGGTCGGATACATCCGCTTTTAAGAGGGGGGGGATGTTACTGGTCTTATAATGGTTAATAATGGACTTGTCCCTCTATAAACATTGGCCGTCTTGTAATACAATGTCAGGACGGTAAAACTTGTAATACAATATCAGGTTATCTTGTAATACAATATCAATATTGTGCAACTTGAAATATAAGTATCTTGTTGGCTTTAAACCTACATTTTGAAAATTACAGTATTAATTGGGAAAATAAATATAGGAACTTTCAGAAGTTTATACTATTCCTTCGATTCGTTATTATGGAAAGTTCATTGCTTTCACTTTGAGTTTTAGATAAATTACCCTTATTTTGGTAAAACAATACTTTAAAGTGTATCAAAAATATTGGAAACCCCTCTGCTATAGCATATTGACTTAATATATGTTTAAAACTGATACACTCGTTTACGTTTTTTAGTATTTCAAAAATATTCTTGGCAACACTCGATGTTGTTGATGAAAGTTTTTGTAGATTATTACTTGACATAAATTATTAATTGCGACAATGACTACATCGTGGTGTCTTTATAGTGTAGTAAATTATAGAAATGTAGAGGCTATTTGACTACAGAAAGATGTAAAAAAGGTTCAAATGTATAGTATTAAAATGATCAAACGATATGTTTAAAGTACATATAAAATTGGAAAGATAAATATTTGGCTTAAATATTTTGTTTAATTCAGATTTATTATGAAATGCATTTAACACGACTATTAAAAATAAATAATTCCTTTTGTAAACCTCAAAATAAATTGTGCTGTTTACCGTTAATATTTCAATGCATTCAGATGAACAAGGAAATACATTTTGTACATTTACAGTTGAAAGAAAATTATTGCTTTTGTGTACCTCATAATAGACTTGTTTTTGTAGGGCAAATGTTTGAAATTCGTAAAAATCCACAGTAACAGTTTTTTTTTTGGCAGGTATTGAATGTCAAATCAACCATTTTACGAGGCCGAGGTTGATGAATGAAAAGACATGACAGTGATTAAATTTCTCGGGAATGAATAAACTTTTGTGATATAACATTGGCAGCACAGATTGTTTAGGCATCGGTGAGTTCGTTTTCACTCGATTCTACAATTTAATTTTCAAGTTAGAAAAATTTTAAAAACCTTAGCACGGTAGGCAATTCTTTGAATAGGACTATTGCAATATTTTTAGTTGGTTAAGTGATTGTATTTTGACAATGTTAGTTAAACTGCAGATTTAGTGAATTTCAATTTTAAAATTTCTATTAACGAGTCATATTTACCCTAATACATTTGATAGAGTACTTAAGTTTTCTACTACGTGGAAGTGAAAAGTAGTTTTTTTATTAAATGTTTATAGTATAGAAGGAAAAAATACATTTTTCAAATTTGATCAAAATCTATCCAAAAACAAGCAAACTAGAAAGTTATTTTAAATCCATCAAATAATATGGGGGTATTCTTGAATTGTCAAACAATGTTTCAATATACAAAATGTGTTTATCTACACCATAGTTGTAATACAGATTTCCCATTTCTATTTTAAGGGTAAAAGTTTGTAAAACACGATTTTTGAAAAAATTCTTGAACCCCATAATACCCAGTACCCATTACCCGATCTTGCTGGGTTGTGAACTTAATAAAGTTTAATCAGCTCTACTCATTCTACCAAACTCAATAAAAATCTTATTAATCATAATTACTCGAGTTATCGTCTTCACGGAAACACATAAAGTATCAAAATTTTTACGAATATTGTTTTTGGCTTTTGGGGAGATCAAAATGAAACAGTAAATAGGTCATTCCGTGCCACCCAAGCTTTACACCCATAGAAATTTAATAAAAAGCGAAAAAAAATAGGCAAACATAAAAAGTTAGCTAACAGTGTGCACGTGTAGTTGAGTGTGCACGTACAATATGTTATGTTAGTACTCTACCACGCTAGCTTATCAAAGGCCATTATGTGACATAGACCGCAGGGATTCAGGAAGACATTAGATGTATGTGCATAAGGCCTGTCCCAGGTGCTTCCGACACCTGTACCACCTGTCGCTTGACAATAGCTTCTCGTTGTTTATGGCTCCGACGGGAATGCAGATTAAGTCAAGTATTAGGTCAATCATGGTTGTGATCTACATGTCAATATGCTTGGTGATATACGTAGGTTAATTCAGGTTGTTCCAAAAAAGGCGGGGGTATAATTTACGTAGCGATTCCGTGGGTCGAAATAAGTAAATTGTTTGTATAAAAATATGTCTGATATTCGAAGAGAGAAATTAAAAGACGAATTACAACGCCATATAACTTTATTGTAGGTGCCCTATTTCATGTCCAGAAAAATATAACTTGAAACCTCTCGCAAAAAAAACCACTATTTTAAATGTAATACGTATTATAACATTTACTGCTCTTCAATAATCTTTCCGTTACTCTTGTTGAGCATCTGAACCGTTCTCTAAGTACCTGAAAAGACTTTGTTCACCGTAACTAATAATCGCAATAAAACTAGGTAGCCATCAGTAAACGTTAGCTCCGCCATAGCTTCCTCTAATACAAGGCCGCGACGAGGCAACAATGGCAACGTCGCAGAGTCGTCCTACAGGACGTTTGTTATTTCTGTCATTCCAAGCAATTGGCCGGCCGGAGCGACGTTGCCATACACCAACGCCGTGGTGTGTTAGATAGAGTAGGCTATCACTACAACCAATAAAATGATGTTTCAATGCGTCTTACTCACCTCGTTGACGAACACCCAGACTCTGATGACGTACGAGGGAAGATTCAGACATATAAACACTGAAGACACAACCAACAGCATCTCTGTCACTTTAGTCTGAGAAGAAGACGCTTGTTTGGACTGGGATCGGGCGAGGATCGGACGCTTCACCCCCACCGGACCGATATTGTTGACTTCTGACTTGCCAGAGTTAGTCATAGACCTCCTCACTCGCGCTAGTCTCCACACTGTCTTGCTGATCAGGGTGTTGAGCACGACGATCAGGCAGAAGGGGATGAGCAGAGTGACCACAAAGTCTATGTAGTTGAGTGTAGTGGCCAGGTCCATCCAGTGGTCTACCAGACTACACACTAGGAGTGTAGAGTTGCTGAAACAAGAGACAATTACTGAATAACAGATGAGTCAAACTGTCTTGCTGATCAGGGTGTTGAGCACCAGACAGAAGGGGATGAGCAGAGTGACCACGAAGTCTATGTAGTTGAGTGTAGTGGCCAGGTCCATCCAGTGGTCTACCAGACTACACACTAGGAGTGTAGAGTTGCTGAAACAAGAGACAATTACTGAATAATAGATGAGTCACACTGTCTTGCTGATCAGGGTGTTGAGCACCAGACAGAAGGGGATGAGCAGAGTGACCACGAAGTCTATGTAGTTGAGTGTAGTGGCCAGGTCCATCCAGTGGTCTACCAGACTACACACTAGGAGTGTAGAGTTGCTGAAACAAGAGAAAATTACTGAATAACAGATGAGTCACACTGTCTTGCTGATCAGGGTGTTGAGCACGACGATCAGACAGAAGGGGATGAGCAGAGTGACCACGAAGTCTATGTAGTTGAGTGTAGTGGCCAGGTCCATCCAGTGGTCTACCAGACTACACACTAGGAGTGTAGAGTTGCTGAAACAATAGAGACAATTACTGAATAACAGATGAGTCACACTGTCTTGCTGATCAGGGTGTTGAGCACGACGATCAGACAGAAGGGGATGAGCAGAGTGACCACGAAGTCTATGTAGTTGAGTGTAGTGGCCAGGTCCATCCAGTGGTCTACCAGACTACACACTAGGAGTGTAGAGTTGCTGAAACAAGAGACAATTACTGAATAACAGATGAGTCACACTGTCTTGCTGATCAGGGTGTTGAGCACCAGACAGAAGGGGATGAGCAGAGTGACCACGAAGTCTATGTAGTTGAGAGTAGTGGCCAGGTCCATCCAGTGGTCTACCAGGCTACACACCAGGAGTGTAGAGTTGCTGAAACAAAAGACAAATACTGAATAACAGATGAGTCACACTGTCTTGCTGATCAGGGTGTTGAGCACCAGACAGAAGGGGATGAGCAGAGTGACCACGAAGTCTATGTAGTTGAGTGTACAATTACAATGACCAACACAATTTAGAATAGCTCCATTTTACTAATTTCTTGATTTTTATCTAGTTACTTTATAGTTACTTTAATATAGTTACTTTAATATAGTTACTTTATAATATAGTTACTTTAATATTAATTTAAATATAAATGACATCAAAAATAGAATTTTGACGTTGTAGAGCGCGGTCGGGACGACACTCGGAAGTTGAATTACATTATTAGATCACAAAAGTTCACAGGTGTTACCATCAATTGGATTTTCTGTACAACGAGCGTTTTATATTTCTAGTAGAATTGCACACTGCAACTGGATGTTTGTGCTACATTTGTTTGTATACAGATATTCTTTCATAGTGAATTCATTGCGAGAAATCAATCATTGAATTAATATTTTAGGTTTATTTCTATTCATTGAAGACGGAGTTTTGGGAAAATAGTTTTTTGATCTTGGTGATGGGTTTTGTTGACTTGGCGGATCTAAAGGTACTAAGGGAAACGGACACAGAGCCTGGGGTGCTTCATATTGTTTGTTGTGGAGGGTAGGTTTTTAGGAAGCAGAAACCTGGCCTTAGCTTGCGTCCCCTAGATATATATATATACTCTTGGGAAGTTCGGCGATACGGGAAGCATGGGCAATAACATTGGAGCCAAACCTTCTAAGAAATACATATTACTATTACGAGAAGACTATTACTAGCTTTTGCCCAGCTTGCTGTGTCGTACACTCCCTGTTTCTCACCCTTTCCCTACCCCTTCTTACCCACAATACCTTTTAAAATAACATAGGGTTTTAGGGAGAACAGACTCAGAGATATCCGTGTACTCTATTGTTTGTTTTGGAGGGTAGTTTTCTCAGATTTGCTCCAGACACTATGTCCTGCACATATGTACGAAGGCTTTCTTCACACCTATAGTTGTGTCCTAAGATTGTTGTTTGCTAAAATTAGACTACAATTATATAAATAAACAATAAACTTAATCCTATTCGTAGTATTTCTAAATGCTAGCCAGTAATATGTAATAACATAGCTGTAATTTATAAAATGAAAGCTATCACCTAGCCGATCCAAGTTTTACAAAAAGTAAGTTATAGGAAGTCCTGTAAATGAATAGGTATTTAATTACAACAGAAATTGTAATTTTATAAGCTTGATGGTTTGCTACAATGTTCCGTTTCCTTTTCTAAATTAGCTTTTTTTATAACTTTAATGTGGCAGTGCTGTTTAACTATAAAATATAGCACAACGACCTATTAAAACAATTACTGACATTACTGAGTATATAATATGTATTCCCACTGTAATTGTTAATTGTATTTTTCAAATATGGTTTTGTGTGAAACGTCAAATAAATAGTTTGTATCAAATTTCGTCTCTTATCCACCCAAACCAAATTTTAACAATTTATACTTCATCCAGTATCTGCTTTCATTTGCTAATTACTTCGGTGTCTAACCCGTTAGTCTGTGTAAACATATTAAACAACCCCTTTTAATTATTACAACCCTTTAAATGCATCTAAATTGTTTTATTCGTCTAAGACAACGCGTGTATCTGTTGCACGTGCGGATGAAATATCAGAGACGAAAAAACATTTCCAAAGAGGTGAACGAGGAACGTGGGGAAGCCACGTGAAATAACATCTGTGATAGATGTGGGATCATCTCATAACTCCAAGATTTCATAACTCCAAGTGATCATAACTCCAAAGTTTCATAAGTCCAAGAGATCATAACTCCAAATTATATTTAATCCAAAGTTTCAAAACTACAAGTACCCGAAAAGGGATAATTTCATTACTCCAAGAAAAATATAAGTGCAAGTGATCATTACTCCAAATTTTCATAAGTCCAAGATATCATAACTCCAAAGTTTCATAAGTCCAAGTAAAAATTAAAGCAGAGTGTCATAACTCCAAAAGTTGAGTCGAGTCTCATATCTCCAAGTGGAATGTGTAGTACAGTCAGCGCCACAAGTTCCTGCGCTGTCCGCTCCGCTGTAATACTGTCAGCAGCCTTTGCCGCATCATTGTATCTATATACCTACCGTCGCCTGTCAAACGATTATGTAATTTTGTTATATACTTACAGATTAATTAATTGATATACTTCTTACTTCTATGCTAAAGGTACTTTAACCTTTAACTACTCGCGAGGGTTTTACTAACGTATGTACTCGCGTGGGGTGTTTTTGACACCCCGATATTACATATTTGTTATAATTAATTGTATTAACACTAATAATTGGTAAATAACATTTTTTGTTGTTATTTAAGTTTATTAAAACGTTTTTATTAGCTCGCTTTCTTGTCCGATACAAATTTTGCAATCAATTTTATACTAACTTCCCGATGAGCTAGAGACTTGAAACTTGAAACATAGCCCACAAATGGAAGACAATGCAATATAATATCATTTAATTTTCATATTTCCCTTGGGCTACGCCCCATGGGCTTGTTTTTATTTTACTGTATACTGTTTCCAATATGAAAGAGTTATTTATTTTAAGTTATACAATGTAAATAATATATTTCTTTTACCAACTGCAGTTTGTGTGTGTATTTGGTCAAGTTTTGCATATAAACCATTTGTTGTATTAAAAAATATGTATTTTGTCATTGAACTGTTTGATATTGAATAACTAGCATATGTACTACCCGGAAAATATATAATTTTTAAAAGATTATAATATGTCTGTGAATGGTAAAGGTATTATTTTTCCCTAAAATGTACTACTAAAAAACAGTTTTTAGGGGGGGGGATCGTAATACACACAAGTTTTGTGCAAACAAATTTATTTATATGTCAAAAACACTTGTTTGTTATCGAAATAAATGTAAATAAAAAATGTCCTTTCATTACTTTTAGAGTCTTTCGCAAAAAGAACAACATTACCTTATACAGGAACTTGTACTTTTTACGAAACGTTAACACTCACGTGGGGAGTTGAAAACACCCTATACTTTGTAATACACATGTATTACCAAGTGAACACTAGAGATCGCACGGGGACTTTGGATGAGAAACGTTCCTGTGTTTCACAGTTTTAACTTTACATTTCAGGTAATTTACACTAAGTGTACAATGCAGTTGTCTGCTTGCAACATTGAGCAGATAGCAGACATAATAATCAAATAATTTCTAAAGTCAATGTTACATATGTTTCTCGTAAATGAAATGTATACTTGCAGTATCCAATCTCATTAGTATATATTTTGTTTCAAATAAATGCAATGTCTAATTTCGTTATTCAAAGTCAATTACAAGTCTGGTTCAATTAAATGTATTGTCTACCTCAAAGTATATATGTGTCATCTGGTTCTCATAAATTAAATGTCTATTTGCAGTAGCAGTATCCTAAATCAATAGTACGCCAGCTTCACAAAAATGAGAAATTTACTTGCAGTATCCAATGTCAATGGTCCATTTGGTTCACATAAATAAGATGCCTATTTGCAGCATTCAAAGTCAATGATACGTCGAGTTCACTTAAACGAATTGTTTACTTGAAGTATACAAACTCAATGGTACATATCGTTCACATAAATAAATTGTCTACTTGCAGGATCCAAAGAAATGGTTAATTTGATTCCCATAAACGGAGTGCCGATTCGCAGTATATTAAGTAAATGTTACGTCTGGTTCACGTCAATGGAATGTCTACTTGCAGCATCTAAACTCAGTGGTATCTTCGGTTCATATTAATGGAAGTCCTAATTATTGCAGTACCTATTCAAAGTCTGCATTATTTAATTGTAAGTCTAGTTCACTGAAATGGAAAGCCTACTTGGAATTGCAAGTTAAATGGAAATATAACTCAATGGTAGGCTTATATTTGGTTAAAATGTAATGGATATTTAGATTATTTAAAGTCTAAGGTGTTTCAGCCTTATTCTGGCGACCATAATTATTGGTTGTTTTCATTTTGTAGTAAATTATGCTCAATGATATTAATCTTATTGTTCTTCCCTTTTTCTGTGTCCTATACGGTAATGTACTTTTTAAACGATTCTTTGACTAACATATGTGGCAACTCTTGTTTATCTTTTTAGTGTTATCTCGCAAATAAAGTCATAGCAACCAATGAACCCATAAGGCCCATGTTAAATTAAAAAAAAAAAAATTCACGTAGGGAAAAGCCCTGTGGTCCAATTTGTACCATTTAAGATTTATACATTCCCATGGTTGGTTACTATGATCGTGCTAAATTTCGTGTAGATCGCTTCAGCCGTTCAGGAGGTATTTGTAAAACAAAAAGAGGAGAGTAGTATAAGAGCTTCGCTTTGCGCCGTTCAATTACTAATGGTTGTTAATCCTCTATATATCGAAAACGGCTAATACGATTTCCTTCTAATTTGAAAAATAATTTATATCTGGCCTAAAAACGTGTTTACTGCAGTTAAAACTGCTAGCAAAAAACTAACTACGCAACAAAATTGAATTGAAAGTCTATAATTTTTAACATTGGCCTCATTGGTTTCCAAGTAACCATGACCATAGACTAATAGAACTATTTTAAGTTGTAGTGTGTGATTTGCAATCTGGCCTTACAATTTTGACAACCAAACATAACGTTATGGTGATTGGAAAAAAACCCTCTTAAGGCCGAATTAAACTGGAAAGGCAAAGGCATTATATGTTATCATAAAAGTCAAGTGATTTTAAAGTGATTAAAGTGATTTTAAAATAATATTACTACATCCAATAAAACTTTCGCATTATTCACATTATTATTCACATTCAAGGTAAATATAAAACCATTTGAAAAACATTAGGCCTTTCAATTCTGAATTTTTTAGGTAAATATAACTTACGTTATTACAGTAACTAGCCAAATTAATGCCAATTAAAGCAAATAAATTTGTGACAGAGAGGTTATACAGA